GAGAATAGAGCGAGAAGTAATACTGCGCAATGGATACGCCGCCGGGAAACGGGTATTTAATCACATAACAGTGAACAAATAAATGCTTCCTGAGATGTTCAAAAGGTTCACCAGTAGCTTCAATTGGTCGCAAAGGAAAAGGTTTTAACATCTGATTCGGTTTGCTAGTTAGTTGGCAGGTCTTACAACTTTTAACATAAGCAGAAATATCTTGCTTCAAACGCGGCCAAAAAAAATATTGCAACAAGCAATCGTAGGTTTTACGCACCCCTTGGTGACCTAGTTGATCATGCGCAATTTCAATCATCATTTGTCGATACTTTACAGGAACAACTACTTGAAAAACAGGATCCCCAACAAAATCATCCTTGTGAGGAACATTTTCGCAGCAACACCCCAACGTGAACAAAATAGCCACGAGCCACACTATCCACTTCACCTGGAGAAACAACACTCTGGAACAGTTCATCCAAAGAGGAATCACTGCGCTGTTCTTTTCCCAATTCCACTGCAAAGACAGGAAAAGACAAAGCAGATAAGTCAGGCATTGACACATTAGTACATATTTTAATTTGGCTCTCCTTCTGAGTACATGTCTTTTCACCACACGACTCCTCATTTTCACGTTCCCTTGCACGAGTCACATCACACACAGAATCCTGGCACAAAATATTAGACTCAGTGGTGGTTTTACTATTAGGATTAACCACAGGAAACACTGAACTATCAGCCCACACCCGGTCACCTACTAGTCCATTTCCCAGAATCAAATGAACTCCGTCCACTGGTAAACCAGGGCGTACTCCCACTACCACCTGTCCTTGCACCAAATCAGACTGAATCGTAATCTTATGCAGTGGCACAGGCAGAGTATTTAATCCTATTCCCCGAATTAACACATCCTCATCCATATAAGACTGTGCAAAAACTGATTCCAAGATAAACTAATCTATGGCTCCAGTGTCCCTTAGTATCTTAATCGGAATCTCTTCTTTCTCTCCAACAAGAGACACAAGACCTTCTGTAACAAAAGGAGAGTAAGAAGAAAAAAAACATTAGGGTTTTTATTCCCAACAGATTGGCCTTCCACCACCTGGATTGGCGCCGCAAGAACTGTGGGCTTAACATGTGAACCCTGTGTAAGACGTTTGGACTTATTTTTAAGAACAAAACCATCTGCTTTCCAATGTCCTTTCTCATGACAATAATTGCATATTTTATTTGGGTCAAATTTCCTCTTGAAAACATGACTGCATTTAGGCGAAGACTTTACAGGCACTGCAACCTGCATATCACAAACATGCCAATCAGCAAAAAAAGTTATATGCGTCAATACAAAATCGTCTGCCAATACAGCTGCTTCCTCCGGCATTTTAACGTAATGCTCACCGATGTACAGTATGTAGCGCCTTTCTCATGACAATAATTGCATATTTTATTTGGGTCAAATTTCCTCTTGAAAACATGACTGCATTTAGGCGAAGACTTTACAGGCACTGCAACCTGCATATCACAAACATGCCAATCAGCAAAAAAAGTTATATGCGTCAATACAAAATCGTCTGCCAATACAGCTGCTTCCTCCGGCATTTTAACGTAATGCTCACCGATGTACAGTATGTAGCGACACGCCCTGGGACTGAATTTTTAAATTGCTCTAAAATCATTAGGTTACTTAAATCATCCAATGTTTTTACATCTATTGCTGTGCACCAACGATTAAAGTGTTTCCTCAGGTCACGCACAAATTCTAAGTGAGTCTGCGTCTCTTCTTTCTTCTATAATCGAAAACACTGTCTATACGCTTCAGGAACACACTCATATACTTTCAAAACTGCAGCCTTAACGATGTCGTAATCTTTACAGTCATCAAGTGACAAAGAAGAAAAAGCAACTTGGGCTTTTCCAATTAGAACACACTGTAATAGCGCAACGTGATTCTCATCTGACCAGTTTCTTAATTCCGCCACACGTTCAAAAAGAGTGAAAAAAGTATCAGGAACTTCTTCATTAAATTTCGGAACCAGTTTTAAACATGAAACGAGTGAAAAATACATACCTCGTTCTTCCGTGCAGTTAGAAAATGTACCCTCCCTCATCAAGTTCAATTTGAGAGCTTCTACTTTCAACTTTGCTTTTTCCAACTCAATTTTACCCTGGTCAGAATGATGTCTCAATTTCTCATGCTCCATCTTTAAAAGCAGTAGTTCTTTTTGTTCTTTAAATGACAGATTAATTTGCAATGAAGACGCAACTGGTACAGACTCTTCCATTTTTAAAATGCCTTTTTCAACCAAATTCGTTCTTAAGATTACTTTAATATTTTCTTTGAGCCTCTTATCGGAAATTTCAATTTCATATCGATCCGCAATTTTTAACAATTGTTCCTTCGTACATTTTTCCAAAAAATTACAAAAGGGCGATTTAACAAAAAAATCCATATCAGCCATGAAAACAATCACCAGAAATCAATTATAAAGTGCAATTAAATAACGATCATTTTCCCTCTACCTCTATTTTAAACAAATACCTACCACAACCCTAGTCTTCATGCGATTACTGGTGGGGGGTACTTACGCACTGTAGCCCGCTGGGTGAAAAAACGCAACTGGTAAAACCAGCGACACCTTACTCACCACGGATGTGCTCCCAAGATAAATACTACTACCCACGTTCACCGCACCACTACAAAAAAACAACATACTCGACATGTTTCAAAAGAAACATGCCTCTATGCCTAAGAGGGAAAATCACGTTCAAACAACATAATTACTCACCACCTGGCGACTTCACACGGCGACTAATTTACTCCGGCACAAACTAACTCACGTGTGTCTCAATTATCAAACACTATTCAAAATTAAATACAATTAACGAAATAAATTAAACAAGGACGAGCCCCCAATTTGTTACGACCCATGGCTCAAGGGAAGCAACAAACAGAGGACACACGCGAACCAAATAGTTAGCTTTGAATATAATTTATTCAAAAGCTACAGTCACATAAAAAAGTAAAGAACACCATAAAGAAAACAACTATGTATTGGAAACATCAGTAGTGCCAATGTGTAATGCGAAATGTATGGCTGGAGGGAGATGTAGAGTACTGCGGTGTTGAGGTGCAAGGGCAAACTCAAGCCAAACAAGCCACAAAACCAAATATCCAAAACCGGAGCCCCCCCCCCTGGCTCAAGCGGAGGCCTCTTTTAAAGGGAGCGTCTGATAGAGAGCAGGTGTCTCAAACGACGGCCAATCAAGGTAGTCTGTGGACTCCTACAGCGATTCCACGAACAAACGACAGGGGTCGTCACACTGAGCCTCTCCAAAAACCTCTCACTGCCAGTTGTTCTACTCCCGGACCGAGGGAACACTTGGCACAGACGCACTGGCACACAGCTGGCCGCGGGGCCTTCACAAGTATGCATTTTCCCCAGTGAGCCTTCTTGCACAGACACTGTGCAAGATCAGGGAGGACGAAGAGCAGGTCCTGCTCGTGGCGCCTTACTGGCCCATTTGGACTTGGTTCCCGGAGCTGATGCTCCTTGTGACAGCCCCTCCTTGGCAGATTCCTCTGAGGAAGGATCTATTGACTCAGAGATGGGGCACCCTGTGGCACCCGCGTTCAGACCTCTGGAAACTTCATGTCTGGTCCCTGGACAGGACGCGGAGGTTCTAGGTGACCTACCCCAAGAGGTAGTTGACACCTTCACTTCGGCGAGAGCACCGTCTACGAGACATGCTTACGCCTTGAAGTGGAACCTGTTCGTCGAATGGTGTTCTTCTCACCAAGAAGACCCCTGGAAACGTCTGATCAGAATAGTGCTGTCCTTTCTGCAGCAGGGGTTGGAGCGAAGGCTGTCTCCCTCCATCCTTAAAGTCTACGTGGCTGCGATTGCTGCCAACCACAACCTGGAAGCAGTCGAGAGTGACCGACTCAAAGAGAACGTCTCGGTTACGCATGTAACCCTCATTCCCTGAAGGAGGGAACGGAGATGTCACGTCCCGTGTCACGCTCCTCAGCGAAAACCTGAATATGCGCTGCACCAGCTGCCTACTTATACTCACGCTGTGATCAGCGGCAGCTGGATGCAATAATCGCATGCCAATGTCCATTGGCTCGTTTAGTTACACTCGAAGTAGATTGGTCTCTCTAAGCGAGATCCCAATTCGTCAGTCATCCGACGTGACGTCTCTGTTCCCTCCTTCAGGGAATGAGGGTTACATACATAACCGAGACGCTATGCTTTTAATTTAATTTAGTAATGTCTCTGATTTCAGGCAAAATTACTATATTGTGATACATTTTCTTATTGTGGTTGAAAATTACATATATTGTGGTAAAGCTTTTGGTTGAACATTACTTAGATGATGGTAAAGATTTTTGTCATATTGCCCACCTCTAAGTAGTAAAACAGGGAGCAGCTAGAATGTCAACACATAATGGTTTAATAATCAGAGACCGTAAATCACAGGAACTCCAAATTTGGTAGGTTGATCTTAAATCATTCTCATTACTCAGGCACACACAAAGGCTTACTGCCATTTGTTCACTCTGAATTAAGCTAGTACAGAAAATTATATGGAGTCCCATTATAAATAGTTATCAAAATCATGTTTAACTGTAATTCAGCATGGTCTCAAAATAAAAATAACGGGCATGGTCACCGTTACTTAAATGGCCAGTAACACAGTAAGATTTTATAATACAATTGTTTGTATGTGTCAGTCTAGGCACCAGACAAACATAAAAATGACCTGTGGGATCATTAGTCCAATCAGCTTGAATTTTTGCATGTAGTTTCTTTGTCCTACTTCTTTCTTCTTTCTCACATGCTAACTATCAAAATATGCTTAAGACCTTGAAAAATATGAGCTTGACTAAGATGCCTAAACCCTGATAACTGTTGCTTGCAGCTAATACATGTTTTTATTGAATATTATTATTTTTATGAGTTCGTAATTTGGTATATTCCTGATCATGCAATATTCTTAATCAAAAGAGTCGTCCTGGACTAAATGGTAAAAAAGGAGCGAAAGGCGATTCAGGTGGAGGATATGGTTATGGATATCAGGTAAGTAATGAACAACTTAATACCATTTATTTTGTTTTAATTGTTACTACAGAAGTGTAGAGTATACTATATACAATACTACAGATTTTAAACTGGTTTTAGGGACCCCCTGGGCCGCCTGGGCCACCTGGTCCTCCAGGACCTCCAGTTTCTGTGGGACAATATGATGTGAGTAATTAATGTTTTTAAAAATATACAAGTACCTCATATCTTGTGGGTTTGTTATAAAAATAGTATTTGTGCTGGCTCACAATATTTAATTTGATCTATCTTAAGGGTTATGATGACGGCAGCTCAAGATTTCCCTATGGTGAGTAAATAAATCTGATTTGTCATTTTCCAATCCATATCTGGTGTTATCACATTCCAGTTTAGTTTAGCATGAGTATGTGTATAAGAATATTTGTTTGTGATGTGTGCTCTTATGCCAAATAATTTGTATTAGTATATTTGTATATTACTTTGGATAAAAGCATCTGCTAACTGAATAAATGTAAATATATCTGAAATTTCATTACCTCAGCTATCAAAGGGGACAAGGGTGAAAGAGGAGCACCTGGCATCCCTGGCTTGCCAGGTATGACACATCAAGCCTTTTTATAGAAACAGTTGAATAAAGATTCAGAACAGTGAATATCTTTTTTTTTCTAAACTACAAAATGTGAACATGATTTGAATGTCAACATTGTCTGTCATAGGTCTCACTACTACCTTTGACATTTATGCATTTAAGGTATGATGATTCCAAATGTATACAAGATTCTTGTTTACATGTAATGTTCTGCTGACTATGTGCAGCGCATGGAAATTGGACTTGATTTTGTAATATGTTATGCTGTAGCATGAGATGAAAGGGGAGCTTGGTCCTAAAGGACATAAGGGAGAACCAGGAGCAGGTTACTATGACCCTCATCATAGTGGAGCACAAGGTCCACCCGGAAGACCTGGACCACCGGTGACAGCACAGACATGAAACAATGCTTCTTGGATTCTGAGTAAACCTTTCTTTCTTCTTGTTGACTAAATGTTTTTTTTTTTTGGTATAGGGCCCTAGAGGAGAATCTACTAGTGGGCCTCCAGGACGTCCAGGGCCTCCTGGAGCCCCAGGAATCGGTTATGATGGTCGCCCAGGTAGTCCTGGTCCACCTGGACCCCCGGGATCGTTGCTGCCAGGTGCACACCAATCCCCACAAAGTAAGGAATTTACACACAGCCACTCACACGTAAAAGATATTTTGGGTGCTGAGGGATGCATATTTGAACCTGACCTGTTTCATGTCCTGATGTAATTTCTAGTCTCTCCCTTTTTTCAGTCTTGTCTCAAACTGCCCTATCCAATAAATGCAAAAGCCGATAAATAAAAAGATTTTGCCTTTTTATTTTAATACCTTGATCCTTTAGCAATCAGTATTCCTGGGCCTCCTGGACCTCCTGGACCCCCTGGACCTCCTGGACATTTAACTGGGGTGAGTTTACAATATACTGCAACACTACTTACTGTCTGTAGGCACATTGATGACATCTTTTCTAGTTAGTTGGTCTGTTACTTTTTCCTCAGGTTATGGTGTTGAGGTCTGTTGACACCATGACTGCAACAACTATCCAGTATCCTGAAGGCACGCTAATCTATGTAAAAGACAACAGAGAACTTTATATGAGAGTACATGATGGCATCAGAGAAGTCATGGTAATTGTCTATTATTGTTTCTCCATCTTTTTGTAAGAAGAGTTTAAACTTAAGCCTTATTTTGCCGACCACACACACGCAAACCGCAGCATATATGAGAGTGATTGTGCGCAAAAACAAAGGTCCATTAGGTTGTGCACATGTGAGGAACACATCCATTCATGCTCATAGTCAGTGGAGTATACTTTGAAAGGCTTTCACCCTCAAATGTGTGCTACCGTAAGAGTGAAATGTGGAAAATTAAGTATACCTAGGACTTAATTTTTGTGTTTTTGTGAATTTTTTCACAGACAACACCACATGAATGACTGAACATTTAAATAGAACAAATAGAACATTTTGCGGAATGCTAGCAGCATTTCTCAGTCAGTGCCCTGTTGAAAAAAACAGCATATGCTGCTTAGGTATGTTTTGAAGCATGGCTGCTGGTTTAAGCTGGTCCTTAGCTGGTTTAAGCTGGTCAAGTGCTGGTCATGTGCTGGTCCTAAGCTGGTCCTGAGCAGGAGCTAGTTGGTTTGAAACAGCTTAGGACCAGCACATGACCAGCTAAGGACCAGCTTAAACCAGCTCAAACCAGTAGCCATGCTTCAAAACATACCTAACCAGCATATGCTGTTTTTTTTCAACAGGGTGGGCAATCAGTTTCTCAATCAAGGGACCAAACCAATAGGCAAGTGGCAAAAGTGGTTTAAAACACCTATCGGTTTGAAAATGGCCACTAATTGAAACACCCGATTTGATTTAGCAGAGACACAAGTATCAAATAGAAGGGCCATTCAGATTCGCGGTCAAGAGTAGTGAAGTGGTTACACCTATTGAGTGGCAAAAAAACTGAGGGGCAACATTAGTGTTTCACTTGAATGCCACAAAAGCACACCCAAAATTTAAAAGAACAGTTGTGTAATTGATTTACAAACAAGAAATTGTAACTACCTTTTTACAGATTGCCGAAAGCTACAGAAAGATAGATATTTGCTGAGAACATTATTATGCCTGATTTGTGGTCATTTTTATTTCAGCTTGGTGAATACACTCCATTCCCCAAGGGTCTGGTGAGTAACATAAAATGTACAGAATTTAGTAATTAAGTAATTAATAAACCTTTGTATAACACACAAGCTACAAATCGAGGGCAAAAATGGTCACAAGGATTCCTACTGAAATTACTGGATTTCGCACGCAAAATTTAGTAAATGTCACCGTATCTTAAGACGTAAGTTATGGGATCAAATAATACACTGTATGTTTTTCCCCTTGCTACGTTTTTGCCCTGTTGGTTTCTAGGATAACCCGATGGAAGCAGTTGTGCCTCCACAAGTGGTTCAGTACTCTCAGGATTACCCCACAACCTCTCCCCAACAAGGCCCTCCACAACCAGGAGCCCAGTACCCTGTGCCACTTGATCCCAGACTTCAGCCATCATATGACCCACACCATAGATATACATTTCCACACTACTATTCTCCAACTGATCCACGACACTCTCCATCAATCGATTCAATTTACCAGCACCATCCTGATTCCAGAAAGCACATTCCCAGCAGCCACCCAGATCATTCTGGCTATCCTGACAGCAGATATGAACGTACACACCACCACAGGCCCGTCATTCAAAAGGCTAAGCTTCCAGCTCACACACACACATCAGGCCATGCAGTAAGTATCTTATTTAAATGAGGTGTAATTGTGTGCTAGTCTGTTCATCTGTTTCCTACACCCCATGACGAATTTCCTACTAATTATAGTAGGAAGTAATCTGCAGCATACTGTAAACAATCATCAACTGCTAATGGACTTGCTGAAAGGCTTGCTTATAATAACAAGCATTCACAAATATTGGGTATAAAAAATGCAGAGTAAAAGATGGTGACATTATTCTACTCATGCCTCAAGGTGAAAAAGTTGACAATTTACTTGCAGCAGCATTTGCACAAATTTAAACACATACTATTATATGCTATCACCGGCAAAACCACGTATAAGACCGTAGTGTAATTAAGATGAGAAGTTAATGTATGTTACAGTAAATGTAACTTACACACAGACATTATTGAAACTAACTAATATATCTGGACATTTTCCTTTATTTACTGAAATATTGATGGATATTTCTAAATGCTTTTTTGTTATAGATTTTGACAAAACATAAGTGTAACACATCTATAACACATCTGTTGTGTTTGCCTTCTTTAGAAATAGTAGAGGATAATAGGGATTGAAAATAAAAGACAAAACTCACAAGGGAACAGTGTTCGGGGTAACGCATTACAAGTAACTTGAGTTACATAATCAGATTACTTTTTTCAAGTAACTAGTAAAGTAATGCATTACTTTTTAATTTACAGTAAAATATCTGAGTTAAATAAGTAATGCCAGTTACTTTGTTTTCCCATGTATTGATTAACAGCTCTCCTGTCCCCATGCTGAGAGAAATCGGGAGTATGTGCAGAGATGTTGTGTGTGCGGTGTAAACATTATGGTTACTGTAGTTCTTGACTATAAATGTAAACATGCATTTACTCATCTCACTTGCACAAAAACAGATTCAGTATTCCTCAAAATGCATAAAATAGCAGTATAATAACAGTGAAATTCAAACTCAGAATATGATGCAAACCTGCAATAATTAAATATGTTAATAACTGAATTTACATTTACTTCAGCCTGAGGCTTATTCATTTCACTTTTGGTGTGAAAGGGCTTTTACACATGCCAAAAATATATATTTTTTATATTAAAGCAAGCAAGCCCAGCCCAGATGAGAAAAAGTAATACAAAAGTAACGTAACACATTACTTTCCATAAAAAGTAACTAAGTAATGCCATTAGTTACTTTTTAGGGAGTAACTCAATAGTGTAATGCATTACTTTTTAAAGTAACGCTGCAAGGGAAATCCACAACACTTGGTAAAACTAAAAAAGCTCTTGCCACAGAAGCTTTTGTGATATCAGTCACATTAAATTAGCTTTAAATAGCCTTAAATTATTTTACTGTCATACACCACCATTCAAAAATGTGGAATCAGTAATTGTGTGAGCAGAAGAGGCTTCTTTCAAAAACATTCTAAAAATCTCACCAACCCCAAACTTTTGAACGGTAGTGTATAAAAAAAATTATATTTTTTAAATAAATAATATTCAAAATGATTTGTTACAGACCTCAACTGTGATTTATGTGATATATTAAAACATGCAGGTGATGTGTACAACTAATCAATATTGTTTGTACAGCATATTCTAAAAAATTCAGAATTTGTTCATAGAAAGTGCAAAATGTCAGGTGATGTCCTTTTGTATAATCTAAATAATTTTTATCTTCTTGTAATGTATAACTATCTGTCACCTGATTTTTTCACCCTAGCTGCACCTGATCGCTCTCAACTCACCCCAGCTGGGCAACATGCAGGGTATTAAAGGTGTAGATCACCAGTGCTTCTTACAGGCCCAAGCCATTGGGCTAAAAGGAACGTTCAGGGCTTTCCTGTCATCCCAGTTACAGGATCTATACAGTATTGTTCGACAGAACAACAGGAAACTGTTACCCATAGTCAATCTTCAAGTAAGATTCTTCCTTTGTCCACACACAACACTATTGTTTTACAGAATATACTGTAATCTCTTTAATATAGTCTTTTACAGAGCTGTTTAATATGTTCACAGGATGAGGAATTATTCAGCAACTGGGAATCCATCTTTAATGGCTCAGAGGGCAAGATGAATGATAATGTGCACATCTATTCATTTGATGGTCGAGATGTTCTTGATGATGATGCCTGGTAAGTAGGTCTATCACATATCCACAGCTAAAATCTTAACAGAACTGATTAGTCTGATTAACCCATTTTTTTTCTCTATAACCACTTTAATAGGCCAGAGAAGATGGTATGGCATGGATCAAGCACTCAAGGAAGCAGGCAGACAGACAGCTACTGTGAAACATGGCGAACAGGTAGTCATGCCGTCACTGGCATGGCTTCCTCTCTCCAAGAAGGCTACCTACTTCAGCAGTTGCCACGTGGCTGCAGCAGCTCTTTTATCATACTGTGCATTGAGAACAGCTACATTGCTGAGTGAACCAAAATCTTTGCTAAACCAAAATTTTCCTTGAGTCACACCACAACCTGACATTTTTATGATTGATGGTGATACTGTTTATGTTCATTTACATGTATTTTAGAATTTAATTTTGACTATTTTTTATGTATTAACTGCTGTGTGACAGCCATTTGTTTCAAAACAAACAATGATATACTTTGCTTTTTGCATCATAAACCTTACAACAAACATTTTGTCATAGCAGAGAACCTACAATGAAATACTTGAGCATTTAAAAATAAAATTGATTAAAGCTAAATTCAGGGGGGAAATTACTGTCTTATGTTTTATATTTTTTAACAAAAATGTACATATTTCACAAATAGCAGGGCAGTATTGAACACCCTCAGGCAAAAACATTTATGTACAGCTTATTTTAAAATGGACATTCGCAAGTGCCTTCACAATATATTGCCAAAGAAAAGGGCTACATTCCAAATTTTAATAACTAATTCTCTTTAAACTACTTTGTTGTCATAACCATTTTCATTCACATTTGTATTTGATTTTATGTAAACATATCTATGTAACCTTTCCACATTTTTATACTTTGCAACATCAAACATTCCATGATGTAATGCAAAATGACTGGTTGACTTTCTCTACAGAAAGACGACGACTATTAATAAAAATATGTAAATCATTGTTTTTGTATTATTATTTATTTTGGTTTAGTTTTTACACATAACCTGAATACAATTTTAAAGAGTTGCAGTTCTCTGTACTTTACAGCCTGCTGTATTCTGCAGTTCAAATGTGACCACTAAAAATATCAAAGACATTATTACTTTTATCTTTACTGTATTTCAATGGCACTTACATTAATAAACATGTTATAGACGTTCAATTGTTTACTCATCACTGGTTGCTTCACTTCTAAAAATTCTGTAATATTTGAGAAATAAATTGATTGATACTCGTCTTACCTCAAATGTTTGAATGGTACTGTGCCTGTGTGTATATATACAGTGGGTACGGAAAGTATTCAGACCCCCTTAAATTTTTCACTCTTTGTTATATTGCAGCCATTTGCTAAAATCATTTAAGTTAATTTTTTTTCCTCAATGTACACACAGCACCCCATATTGACAGAAAAACACAGAATTGTTGACATTTTTGCAGATTTATTAAAAAAGAAAAACTGAAATATCACATGGTCCTAAGTATTCAGACCCTTTGCTGTGACACTCATATATTTAACTCAGGTGCTGTCCATTTCTTCTGATCATCCTTGAGATGGTTCTACACCTTCATTTGAGTCCAGCTGTGTTTG